CTTTGGAAATTGTTTGTTAAAGGTAAAGACCAGTAATGGTCATGCGATTGCATTGTGAAAGAAACGTTGTGGAATCGATCAGAAAAGGTTGATCATCTAGCATCTAGCATCTGCAAGGTTTTGGAATCATGAAAATGATAAGAAATTTGGCCCATTCTTCGTAAAGTTACAAGCACTATACACAGAAAGATGTATATGGGACTACCCTATATCTCTCACAGACCATGAGAGAAACAAATTTACCAAATATATGAATTAGTAGGCGGTTTCCCGGCAAATTTGTTATCATCATGTATTAGTCAAAACATATTCTTTCACATGATTGGTAATGAGAGCTTCCATTTCATTTTTTAAAATTGGGGCGTTTCCAATACTGGTCTTTACCTTTAATGCCAGTAAGACTACATTTTAAACAAATTCTCGCGAGGGAAAGTTCGTTAATACCCTGCATCTACTTTGGTGATAGTTATAAGATTGATTGTGTTGATGAATATACTTATCTTGGTACTACCTTTAACTATAATGGTACCTTTTGTAATGCTATAAATAAGTAGGTTTTACTCAAGCCAGGAGAGCCATGTTTCATCTTTCTTGTAAAGCTAAGAAATTGTGGTTACCAATTGACATTCAATATGAGCTCTTCGATCAATAATAGTTGTTCCAATTTTATTTTATGGGTGTGAATTGTAGGGGTTCGAAGACTGTATTGAAGTGTTTTTTTAGGAAGTTTCTCAAACCCTGCTTAAATTGAACCGTGGTACTGCAAGTTATATATGTATATGGCGAAGTTGATAGATTTGTTTTAGCTAGTAAAGTGGAGAGGCGTATGATAAATTTTTGGGCGAAAGTTACTCATTGAAAGAAATTTAAACTGTCGTGTACTATTTACAATTTGTTACGCAAAATATATGATAATTGTTATTTTGAATCGAATTGGATTACAAAATGAAAAGTATCTTAGACCTGAGCGGAATCTCAAATTTATTGGTAGAAATACCCCCTTAAACATAGAATGGGTGAAATCATCTATTGATCGTAGATTAAATGACACTGATTTGCTAAACTGGAATGAAGAAGTTAGTATAAAATGTTTATGTTTCAATTACGGGATTTTGAAACAGGAATTTGGTATGGAACAATATCTGTTACAGTTGGATTTTAGTGATAGAACATCTCTTTTAGTAAATATCGATGTGGTAATAGTAAGCTGCCCGTCACTCAATGTCGTTATTTGCCAAGTCAGCCTCTAGTCAGCCTCTAGAATTGTGTTCCTTACGTCATCCCGAAGTTATGTACAAGGTGGTGAATTCCATTATTTTATCTTTTATCCAGCTTTTGATAACATTCGTAATATGTACTACATGTATGTTAAGAAATATTATCACAGTAGACCTAACATCAAAATTCACCAGTTGTTCAATATAATTTGTGTTAAACAGTTAAAGAATCTTTCTACATTCTTGTAAAATCAATACGTCGAATTTTGGAATTAAAAAAAAAAATTATTTTCCCCAAAGCATTAGTGACCCTCGGTTTCTTCATGCACATGTATATATATATAATAGATTGTATACATTTTAAATTTGTTATAGCATTAGTATACGTGCTGACAATATTTGTAATATAAGATTTATAGTTTAAGTCTATTTTTGGGGGTCGTTGTTCATTTGTTGAAATCTTGCCTTCACTTTATTATGTGTTTAGTTTGCTACCAAAGAACCCCTCTTTAGTAAGATACATATATGCTTTTTTTTTTTTAAGTGTCTGAATTGTAAAAGATCTTTGTACCATTTATCTGTATTTCTTTCATGCCCCAGGTTGGGTCGTTTACGAAATAAAAAAAAACTTTCAAACTTGTTTAACCTTTCAACCGTATTCAGAGCTAGCAAAATATTCTCCTATCATGCCTATAGTACGTTGCCCCTATGTTCATTCATTCAGTAATATACGGAATTCTGGCGACTTAGATATGCAACAAATTCATAATGTCATAATGTAAAAATGGTAAAAAATGTAGATCGCGATGAAAAATTTAACATATTTCTTAAAGAAAGAAGAAAGAAAACAAATGGAGACCAGCTTTTGGACAAACATCTCATAATTTACTTTTTGGATACTTAGACTTAAATAATGTTCGTTTCCTTACGTATGCAAATGATCTAGGCAGAAACTACAATTATCTATTCCGTAAAATCCATAAATTTTCCTTTTCAGGAAGACGAAATATTTCACAAAGGGTCATGTGACATAATAATGCCACACTTCATTTTGGGATGTTAAATAATGGGTAAAGTCGCGGGAAAAATGACATAAAACCGCTATCCTAGTAGCCAACAGTTTCCGGGGGAAAGGGAGGGGCGTCCGTCTAGCGCGCGCGAGTGTTGTGAGGTTGTTAATTCTTTATAGACATACATTAATAATTTATAAGAATACATTTAACAAATCGATGCTTTCACGACATAGAAGAAAACAAATCTTCACTGCACAGGAATCCTTAGGTTAAATGGAAATGCATATTACTGCGTGTCCTACGTGCCCGTGAAATCAGTGGCTACATTGCTGAATTCTTGTACAAATATTTTGTTTCTTCCCGATTTGAATGCCTATTGTTATACATGTTTATCATGCGTGATATCTTTTGTACGTTATTCATCATAATTCTTTTGAGAAATGGAGCACAAACTGATCATCCTGCTAGTCACAGCTATGTTTATTTACTTAATCGTTGTCTAGGTCTCCAGATCTTTTGTTATTTTTTGGGGGGCGAAATATTTTCTTGCTTACGTTTGCTCATGACTCCTGGCAACTGGCATGACTGGTAACCCCAAGCTAAATGAAACGACAATGGTTTCACGATGTACACTAATAGGGATTGCCGTATAAGGACGTCACACGTAGCAGTCCACTATGTCGACGTGCAAATCTAAAAGTCTCTATCGTGATCCGCTACTGCAAAAATCATTTTGCTGTAGGAGTCTCCGAACAGGGATTTTTTTACTTCAGGGACCAACATTAGATTTATTAATGGTCTCATAATTTAAATCTATGAATACACCCCCTCGTTGGACGAAATGAGATGAAATAATGCGGTAAAAAAGAAATAAAGTTTCCTTCTGTTTTCCCGCTCAATATACCACTTATTTGTTGATCCCTGGCATTTTTGGAACCGAAAGAAAGATAAAAGCACGAAGATATCAAATATGGCTATATACGGCGCTCTTAAAAAAAAAGGAGTGAACGTGTGCATGAGTTTCGGTGTGAAAATGGAACCGAGTTCTTAACTTTAAACTTCAATACCTCAAAATTAAATTTCGGTGATTAGAAGCACGAAAAACGCAATAATTGCAATCACTTCCTTTGTATGAGGTTTCATACTGAAGGTAATTCTCACTCTATCCAGTGATAATACAACAGTGGCTTTCCATTACCCCTTGAAATGCTTGGTTTGCCATAGCAGGTCACAAATAGCTCGGGATACGGAAGCCAATGCAATGTAGCCTGAGAGGAGGGGCTCCTAGGCATGGGAAGCATAAGAGATTCCCTTTATTTCTGAAATAAAGAGGTGAACATATAAACAATGCGGTCAAAAATAAGAAATAAATAAATGCTGTCTTTTATATCCGTTTTAAACCACTTGACCGTGAAACTGAAAAAATTGAAATTAGATGAAAATAATGTTAACGTTTACCTTTTCTCAATTATTATTATCTGAGGGGTTCACAAGCTAGAAGGTCTGCTTTTTAGTGGATCCCTCCATTGTTTGGGTCGCATTTGTAACAATTCCGTTTTTGTTCATCGTGTCTTTTAATAGTTTCTATCTTGTTAGTTTGAAATGTAAACAAGTTTTATGAATGCGACATTGTTGATAATTTCAATTTTTGTATTGCTGCTTCCCGTTTATATCTCGTACCATAGTTCAATCGAACCAGTGAAAATTGATAAACATCGAAACGGAACTCGCTCATCAAAAAATACACGACTAAATATTGAATCGAACTTTAAGGAAATAAATGGAACAACTTTATGTTTCTTCCCAGGCTATAAATCGATGGGTACTTTCGTTGTGAGTCTGGTCCTATGGAATGCGTTTTATACTCAACTAATAAGTGGCAGACGTAGTTTATTATTCATAATTTTTTGTTGTTACTAAAATTTGAACACTGGAAATCTCATTCATGATCTTTTCCTAAAAGAAGAGGGTAATAGTCAACAATACACATTCCCCGTCATAATAACCTGACACCAAGTATTGTCGACTCATCAGTACTTCATTCGATCTTCAATATTTCTTTTCTATTTTGTTTCTTCTTGTTTGTCGATGTTGATTTTCTTTAATCTCTCCTTTAAGGAAAATTAAGGAAGTTTGATAATAATGAAGTGATTCAATCAGAGGAATATATGAAAATTAAGGCCGCTATTTTAAATTGATATTATGAGGTCTGAAGTACTCCGTAATATGACTAATTGTCTCATTAACAAAGATTTCAACTCTAATGTCAGGAAATATAAAAAAGAAATCCTTAACGTTTTCAAATGCCGTAACTCTATTGCCAGTGGTTATACCTCAGAGTTCATGGTCATTGATGGTCGATTAAAACCTCTTATTTTCTTTTGTAGGACTATTATTATGAGCAATGTGGTATCGTACCGTCAAAAAGTGTTTTCGTTATTGCCATGGCATCACACAACATAAGCACATGTATCTCCGCTCTGATGTTATTGTCGTAGTACTATTTTTAAATTGGATTCCTGAGGTTTAGAGTGCCCCGCAATGTAACTCATTGTCTCATTGTCAAAGATTTATCACTTTATTGCCCGGAAATACATTCCTTTGCATAAACTTACACATGCGGCAACTCAATTGCCAGCGGTTATTATTCGTACTTTGAACTCAGACTTACTTAACCGTACCTAATATGATACCAAACGTACATTGATATCAATGTATTAATCATACCCGAGTTTGTTTACGGTTGATGCTTCCGCCAGATGAGTATTTTTCTTGCGCAATTTTGATTGGTTGTAGAATTCAATAACTAGGACCAGTAATAAAGAAAACACCCACTTTGACATTTTGGTACCGAGGAGTAAAGGCTTCATGAATGCTACTATTTGCCATGGCTTTGATTTCGAAAATTATAAATCTTCGTTACATAATTAGTGTCATTACTTCGCTTCTCATCTTCTGTTCTCCCTCGGTAAGTACGACAACAATTATTAAAAAGGTTTTTTTTTTTTTTTTTTTTTTTTTTTTTTTAAAACATTTTCACATAGTTTTTTTCTTCTGTTTTTATTCTTTCCCCATCACTTATTAATTGAATAATACGTACATAAGAAAAACATAATTATACTGTTTACAAAGAAAACACATGAATTTTATCCTAATTAACAACTTCAATCAAATATTAGTTTTTATTAAGGGGATCCTATAATCTGCAAGCTAAGCTTTTTAAAGCCCCACTGTCCTAGTTGTAGCTACTTGCTCCCTCTATATAGAAAGCCTCCCCAATCGGTGCCTGTTGGTCCCCCATGATCCTCTTTTTCTTATGTTAGTTGAGAGCTGAGTTAATGAGATAGCCACCTGTCAGTGACCTCGCTGTGTGGTCGTATCCCCTCTTGCCCAGTAGTATTGACGGTCTTTAATAGGTTTCTCAAATTTCACCCTGTATAACCTACCATTTAAAGCATATCTGTACTAGTTTATATGAGGGATAAGACTACACTGCAAGGTCACTGGACAGATGGTTACTTTATCAACTCAGCTCTCAATGAACAAGACAAAGAGGATCATGGAGGACCAATGGTCACCGATTAGGGATTTTTGTTATATAGAGGGAGCAAGTAGCTACAAGTAGGACAATGTGACTTTAATACGATTAATTTCGACGTCTTTACAGAGACTTGATTATATAATGTCATACTTTGAGTATATTTCATATTATGTTCTAATTTTGGCATTTATGTGAAATTCTGTTTTGTAAAATGTGAAACAAATAAACTTGAACTTGAAAATTACCCCAAGTTGGCCGGTGAATATACATTAAACTAGAAATATCGCAATATGAATTGCCGTGCAATGCGAACGTATCCCCCGGCAGTGGCAGCGATTTTTGGATCATCCTTATGTTCGAATGAGGGATAGAGATGCCCTCTTCCCTCCCTGAAACAAAATGATGACGTATAGATCGCCACTAGTATTTTTCTGACAACGAATCATAAATAAGCAAATATATATAACAATTGTTATTTTCAAAAATGATATAATAAACTGTCATGACTGCTAAATTTCCTCAAACATTGTATCACTATTACTATCTAATTACTAAATGTGTTAATATATTTCTCTCAAATCTCATTGTTGGTGGAAATGTCATAGCAAAGGGTGATAATATGCAGTTTTTAGGTATAATTTTGAATGAGTATCTTTCTTGGAAGCCACATCAAACATATCAAGATCTATTGTTGTTCTCTCCAAATTAAGAGGTTTTGTACCACAGTCCACTCTGACCACTATCTACAATAGCATTATACTCCCCCATTTCAATTACTGTAATATTTTTGGCGTTACACCTTTAAAACTCATTTAGATAAATCATGCATTTGACAAGCAATATGAATTATCTTTAATGCTCCCTTCAATAGTCATGCAAATCCTCTATTTTCACAGTCACATATATTACCATTAAAGGACTTGATAACCTTGAGTTCCCTTGCTTAGATTAGCAAGTATGCGCTTGCAAAAATGACGCCTGACTGGAATGCTCCCCAGGGAGTGGAGAATGTGCCTACATTGTGTGCGGGTAAGCCTGAATCCGATGACCGGGGTAATAATATCTGTAAGGCGCTTTGAGAGGACCTTCGGTCCTGAAAAGCGCTATATAAGAACTAGCTATTATTATTATTATTATTATTATTATTATTATACATTTTAATAGCGATATCTTTGTTTTTAATTCTTCAATTCATACTCGCCAAACTAATTTGATACACTTACGTCAGGTAAGGTTTTTTGCTCCCTTTGGGGCCTCCCCCTGGCCACACCCACCATTTAGGACATGCCATACGGTCAATTCGTTATGGGGCTATGCGATCTTTACATCCGTGCACATGAAAATTGGTTTCCTTTCCAGCTAGGTTGACCCCCCTGGCTCCCGGACTATGGGGGCGGCATCACCAAAAGTTAAAGATGTGAAAATTATACCAAGATACACCTCCATACAAATTTGAAAGAAATCCGTGAAGGAATGTGGCAGTTAGAGCGCACACAAGAATATGAAGCGGCGGACGCTGCTGAATCCAAAGTACTGCCAGGGGATAAAATTCACTTCACACCCTTACCAAGTTTGTTATTTTTAAAGCGTGTGAAAAATAGAGTTTTCTTGATTTTGTTTCTTGAGAATGTGACATATAAAAGCTTACATTCAAGTATTCAAGAAAAACCCTAATTTAACTAGCCCACCTTTCATTCCTAAGTTACGAAACACACACACACATAAAAAAGAAATGTATAAGAGGTATGAATAATTAAGTTGCTGACTGTAATGCCCATTTGTTAATTTATTGTACATCAATAATTGTTTTACACTGTCGGGGACTAATTGGCCTGTCTTTATCTAAGGCAGCCATGTTGGACAGCAAACGAAGATAAAACTTTAATTTGAATATAGGTTACATGCTTTCAGTTCTAGCTAATGGAAAGTAAAAGTACACAGAAAAACCCAGACTTACTCTTAATTTCCAGCAAAACTAAGTTTTATTTGCCAAACCATCTACTTTGAAAACGAGCACTTTCCTAATGTAGAATAGTGGAAATCCACTCTCTTAGGAGCGGATCCAAATGTTTTGGAGTGGAATTCATTTTAAATTATAGTGAAATCATTCTAAACGAGTTATCTGTATTACTATTTTGAGAGGATATCCTTACGATGTTCATGTTTGAGCGTGGATATCCATTCGACATGGAAAAATGATACGTTATAATTATGAGGAGGGAACACACATATGCGTACCCTAAATAACACTGAGTGGGGGGGGGGGGGTATTAATGTAATTAATTTTCTTTTCTTCAACTGATTATCATAATTTCACAGCATGGATCAGGAATAGAATCTATCACTGTTCAGAATAGTCCGTCCTACATCAACATTTCTTGGGCGACAGCAGCAGGGTCATCATGGGACTACTACACCGTGGATGTTATCAAATCATCCCAAAGAAGCGTGGGTGGATATCCAACCAACACCATCGACACGACACATCTGATAACCGGACTCAGACCTGAAGAACAATACACAATAGTTGTCACACCATGGACTACTGAGGGCGCTGGCCGTTCATTGAATAAAACCGTTACTACAGGTAACACAATTGTGCACTTTTGAAGCAAGTAATTTTAATAGATGACATCCGGTCCCCCCGAAGGAAAGTCCCAAACCCCGCACAAAGACCCAAAACCAAACAAAAAAACACTAAAACTAAAACATTAAAGGTAAAGACCAGTTATGGTCATGCGATTGCATTGTGAAAGAAACGTTGTGGAATCGATCAGAAAAGGTTGATCATCTAGCATCTAGCATCTGCAAGGTTCTGGAATCATCAAAATGATAAGAAATTTGGCCCATTCTTCGTAAAGTTACAAGCACTATACACAGAAAGATGTATATGGGACTACCCTATATCTCTCACAGACCACGAGAGAAATAAATTTACCAAATATATGAATTAGTAGGCGGTTTCCCGGCAAATTTGTTATCATCATGTATTAGTCAAAACATATTCTTTCACATGATTGGTAATGAGAGCTTCCATTTCATTTTTTGAAATTGGGGCGTTTCCAATACTGGTCTTTACCTTTAATAAATATTTATATATATTTACTTCATAATTTGATAAGAATCCTGTTGTTTTTATTTCTTCATGTCAATGTCCTTCGTATTTTTCCCCTTCTGACATTCATCATGTTCGTAGTGAAATCGTGTTTACAATCTTATCCGAACACACAGTGTGTAGCAGCAAAATGTTAGATATATGTACAGTATGTAAAAAGATAGTCAGTTAGTATACATGCTGTATATTCTTGGTTACTCCCCAGAGGCCATTGCTGAAGGAGACATATTTGTGTCAGATGTTACGTCATCATCGGCTTTTATCCGATGGAAACCTGTCGCTGGAGTCTTCTTCTATGACATCGAGGCTGAACCAAGTGATGCCATTGAGGATACAGGGGGTATCTTTAAAGCTGAGGTCGGACTGACCATTCTACTTCCAGGAACAGTGTTTAATGTGACTATTAGAGGTGGTAGTCCAGTCATGGACGTGGCATCAACGCAAATAAGAAGCGGTAAACGACAATAACTTGACACGTTTTTATCTTAACATTAACATTCAATTATAAAATCAATTTTTAAAAGTGAGTTGAAACATAAACGCCGGGTTAAACTTTTTTTTTTCTAGATATGTAAGAATTGCCAACAATTCTTTTTTACATATAGTATTTATCATTTCCTTTCAAAGCATTTATCAATTGTTTAGAATTGTCCATCCTCATTCTCATCCGCAGTTTTGAACAAAACCATTTTATGTCGTATTGTAAGTAACATTACTCGTCAAATTGTATGGTTACGCACCACCCGTTATCTCATTACAAACGTCGGATTCTAAAAATAATTTTATTTTGGTTCAACACCCGTGAGTCCAATGAGTGTTATTCTTAATGGTCGGGTGAAATCCAAATGTATATTGATTCCTGTTGATGTGCAGGGTTGCATACAACTCATATTTTGTTATTCAAACATCTAAGTATATTTCATAGATTTTGTAATATTTGTTAAAATAATTTTCTGAGACCTGTTAAGCTCCACCCTAACAAAAATGCTCCAGGTCTCATTCATCTTGTGAAATCATCTGTCCATCATTAGTTAACTAACACGGAACAATGCTATGTAACTTTCCCCAGCTCAGCACAAGCTCACAAAGGAATTGCATTCTTTCATATACCTCCACTTTACCTTTCTTTTCTTGGTGATGCTACAGCACGTCTGACATAGCAACTCCTATGTTGGTATTGAATGGTCTATTGTAAACATGTGGTCAGCTCTGGCGAAGCTTCCCGCCACCCCTCCCCCCACCTACTCCGTGAACGGAGGGATTCCATGTGTGTTACCATAATGTCCGGTAAATGGGTACTTTTCACGCACCAAAGTCCGGCTCGTAGTACACAAAACCCGGCGCGTATTGACTTTACACACCGAACTTTGGGGGTGTTTTCAACAGGAGGGACACATGCATTATGCGTACCCTAAATAACACTGAGTGGGGGTGGGGGGCGAAGCTTCATTCCAACGTCTCTATGAAATATATTTAAATGTTTGAGTAACAAAATATGAGTTGTAAAGAAGTCCTGCACATCAACAGAAATCAACTTTCTATTTGGATTTCACCCCAACTTTAAAGTAACGAATACGACCGAAGCAAATCTCACTCGACGATTTTCAAATGAATTTATTTTCGTTTTGTAGCACCCGAGAGTCCAGTTAACGTTTCTCTTAAACAAACTGGTACGACTGAAGCGACCCTCTCCTGGACCCCTCCGACCAGCCCACATGACGCATACGAGTTCTACGTCATTAATAATTCAACCGATGAGAGATCTATTACAACTGAACAGCGTGATGACGTCAGTGATAACGAGGTGACGTTGACTGGTCTCTCTCCTGCTACCATCTATTCATTTGGAGTTGGATCTGTATTGAACGCCATGGATTCCTTCGGATTGCAGAGGAGTGGTCAAGATGATAACCCGACAGTGTACGGTCGAACTGGTAAGCAAATTTGAAAATTGACCTACACGAATTAACGAGGTTTCGAGCAAACCGCACCAGAGATGTATTCTCATTTTAGTGAAAATGCATCCCACCTATATAATTTAAGGAGCTTTTAAAAACGTTGATTCTCCCACTATTCAGAGTGGTGATGTCACTCCCGGCTTGTCAGTTGCATAAGGAACCTCCTCTTAAAATTAGCTTTAAAGGTACTATGTCCTATTTGTAGGCCAACACAAATGAACTGGTCAAATTCCAATGGCATTTCAAAGATAATACTAATTTAGAACTTCCCTAAAAAAAAGGGCGGCTTGAAAATGTCTTAAAGTGGGAAAATAACGTTTATTAGTTGTCGAATCGACTTAAGAGCTATAGAGCCAGTAAGTACTAATAGACTGATTTTCCCGGGATCGCCGCCCCTGACAATACTTCAGATTTACGTATACTGCCATCTGTTGCTGAAAATGCACCTTGAGCTTCGGGGGCTCCGCCCCTTGTCCCCATTTAAAAAAACGTTCAGCGGGGCCTGCATGTAAGAGTGGGGGATGCAGATTTGCTGATTACGCCACTGACAAGCAGCATAAACAATATATACATTCAAGGATGCAAAGAAAATACACCAATAATAACAAATAATAATACTAACAAAACTGACATGTAAATTTAGGTTCATTTTCCAATACAATGTTTGCATTATAATGTCTTATTATTATCATATCTTTGACTTAAAAAATATGTGTTATTTACCTGAAGTATATAAAAAAAAATACTCACACGAGTTATTATATATTTTTCTCTCCGTTTTGTAGGTGACGATACAGGGAATGCCGTCTCATCTACTCTTCATTACACTCTGCTTCTCATCCCTGCACTCCTGGCTGTCTTTCTGGTGTGAAGTCACTGTGACTGTCATCTGTTTACCCCACGTTTTTTTCTGCAAATATTAATGGGGACAGTTTAGAAATGATCTTATGTCACATCCGAAATTATCTATTTGTTTTACAATTTCGATGTTTAAGTCCAGACACCTTTCTCACACGAGTACTTATAGACTGTAATAAGCTACCAGGGGGCATGCATATTATGATAGGCCTACCCATTGGCTATCGCCAAAAAGTCATTTTTGGCGATCGAAGAACTGGCTGCAAACTTTAGTCAGCTACACACAAGTTTAGACTTAGACAGCGAAACTATCACATAGGTCGATAATTTTGGATGTGCCATAGTACGTTTTTGTTACTCAAAATTAAATCTTATTGTAAGGCTAAACAAACAGCTCGACCAAGATGCCCTGTATCAACATTGATCAACAATCACAGAAAACTAGTTTCAATATAACTTTATTAACAATCACGATTATTAATAAAGGAAATAGGAGTATAGGAAATTGTGTATAAATTACAAACAAGTATGTAAAAGTAGATTAGTGGAAATACAAGGTCATATTTTATTATTTACAATACAGGGCTAATACTTCATTATTCATGATGGAATACGTGATACGCAATGAAAATATATTAACGAACACGTTTAGCATGACGTCTGTTTCGGGTCACAAGGGCATTAGTTCCATGTCGCGCCTTTGCCGCTCCAAATAGAAGATGTATACATACAATTAACGCGAAATTGATAAAATTATAGTCAAACAAAATGAAAAACAAACACAAATACAAGGTTTGAAAAAAGAAAGGGAGAAAAGGTAAGAAAGGGATACAAAGAAAGAAAGGGTTAACAAGAAAGAAAAGAAGAATATTAAAGAAGGAAAACAAGATAAATCAGACAATGAATATTTACCATATTGTAACCATGCGAACACTATTATCAAAAGAAATATGTCCGATATGACATGAGCATATTTTCAATTTATTTCCTTAATGGAAGAGTCATAATTTTATATATGACCATCGACTAATCCATTTTTTCTTTGTATCACCAAACAATTATTTCATGTATACAACAATCTTAGTAAAACACGATAGCAAAGACTTTCGAGAAAACAAAATTAAGTGATTTCAAAAGCCTTGCCCATCACCTATCATAATGCACAAACATTACAACTACGAATTACATATTCCCACCATGTAATTCATTGGAAAAAAAGAAAACGTATCGAAATTACCTTTGAGATGATTTCTCTAAAGTCTTTGACAACTTGTTTTTTGTCAAAATATTATAGTATTGCGTTTGAAAAGGCTATGTGGAATCGCTACTTGCCATTTCCAATTTATTGGGGAATTTAAGCAAACGTTATGTAACATTTTGTGTCCTCTTGAAGTCTAATCATCAGTGATCATGCGACTGTTCTTATTAGGAAGTATCGTGGTCTTGTGGAAAAGTTACCGGCTAGGATAATTAAGGTCTAAAATCCGAATCCTAGCCACGGCGCTATATTTGCAAACATAAATTATGTAGGTTACTTAAAGGCCTATATGGCCGAATTGCTAATTGGGGAGATTTCAAATATGAGTACCCATTTGTACTATTCATTATGTTTTAATTCTTGTTATTTCTCATTCAGTACATTCTCCTAAAGTTCATGGTTCCACTACAGTCAACCATAGTTTTTATTCATATATAGTCTAACTTGTCATAAATGATAGCATACCGGAAGTATATTGGTTTGAACGGTCATATGGGTATGAGTTAAGCAGGACGGTGTATAAGCATTGTATGCTAATATTTTCGTGCATTTCAATTTGTATCAATAATATACTTCCCATGCAAGGCATGTTGGGCATGCGTGTTTGACTGTTGTAGGTGTTCATTATAAATATATATATGTTATTTGTGGAAGTTTGGAAGTTTGGTACAACATATGAGAATGTGAGGGACGGGGGTTTAGGGTAAGGCTAGGCCAAATCAACTTAATTTCTAGTTTCTCGTCTCTCCAGCCTCCCCTCGTTCGGTCCGCATCAATCTATTATTACTATTTTTCTTATTATTTGATATGGACTTTGATATGGAATTTGAAATGAAATGATTAAGAATCTGATACCTAGACAATGAGATTCTGAAGAAAAAAAGATGTATGTATAAATTGCAATTTTACCTTGTTTTGTTCCTGCGTACATTAGTGCAAAAGAAAATGAGAATGAAGGAACAAAATGTGTGCAAAATCGGCCCAACGACATGTGTATGTAAAGGAAAAATGAATCCCTCCTCCTTATCAAAACAAACATCGGATTGTCGTAGGAATCAATTTAATTGGCCCATGGGAATTATTGGCTTTTGTTATGAAAGAAAAAGTATGGCAGGGAATGTAATGATGGTCATTCTAAGGAAAACACAAAAAATGTCAAGGAATAAGAGCCTGAAAGTATCGTTTATAGGAAATGCTTTTTAATGACATATTATGAAATAAGTGACGATGATATTGAAGTGTTTCTCTGACCCAGTGGCGGATCCAGGGGGGGGGGGGGGCGGGGGGCCCGCCCCCCCCCCCCCCTTGAGAAAAAAAATCATGTAAAAACACGTGAACTTAACCTTTTTCGGGGGGTTGCCCCCCCCCCCCCTGGCGCTCAAGTGGGGCAAATTTATAAATTTTCGAGGACTAATTTTTTTTTTATTGTGCTTACTACCCCACCCCCACCCCCCCCCCCACAGAGCGACTTTTTGGCCGGCACGATTTTCTAATTTTCGGGAGCAAAAAAAAAAAAAAGTTGGGCCCCCTCCCCTAAGCAATCCTGGATCCGCGCCTGCTCAGGCCCTATGTGTCACTCATGACATCATGATAATGGCTGAATCTGCTGAAGAGTTGTAGTCTGCCTTAGCTGTTGCATATCATCAGAACTAGAGCTTTGGAAATTACTTTCTGTAAACGGTATTGAAGTATTTTGTAGGAAATTGCTCAAAACCCTTCATAAATTGAGCCGTGGCACTGAAAGTTGTATATGTTTATGACGAAGGTGATAGATTTGCTTTGGCTTATAAAGTGGAGAGGCGTATGATAAATCTTTCGGCACGAGTTACTCATGGAAAATCTAAACTCTCGTGTACTATTTACAATTTGTTACGCAAACTATACGATAATTGTGATTTTGAATCGAATTACAAAATTAAAAGTGAGCAGAATCTCTAATTTATGGGTAGAAATACCTCCTTAAACATAGAGTGTGTTAAATCATCTATGGATCGTAGATTAAATGACATTGATTTGCAAAACAGGAATGAAGAAGTTAGTATAAAATGTTTATGTTTCAGTTACAGGATTTTTAAACAGGAATTTGGTATGAAAAAGTATTTGTTAAAGTTGGATTTTAGTGATAGAACATCTATTTTTGTAAAAATCGATGTTGTAATAGTAAGCTGCCCATCACTCAATGTCGTTATTTGCCTAGTCAGTCAGCCTCTAGAATTGTGTTCCTTATGTGATCCCGAAGTTACGTATAAGGTAATGAATTCCATTATTTTCTCTTTTATCCAGCATTTGATAACATTCGTAATAAGTAGTACATTTATGTTAAGAAATATTATCACAGTAGACCTAACATCAAATTTCACCAGTTGTTCAATATAACTTGTGTTAAACAGTTAAAGAATCTTTTTAAATTCTTGTAAAATCAATACGTCGAATTTTAGAATTAAAAAAAAAAAATTCTCCAAAGCATTAGACCCTTGGTTTCTATATGCACATGTATATCTCTTTCTCTCTCTCTCTCTCTCTCTCTCTCTCTCTATATATATATATATAATAGGTTGTATATATTTTAAATTTGTTATAGCATTAGTATACGTGCTGTTAGCGCTGACAATATGTGTTATATAAGGTTTATAGTTTTACTTAAGTCTATTCTTGCGGTCGTTGTTCATTCGTTGAAACCTTGCCTTCAATTTATTATGCGTTTAGTTTGCTACCAAAGAACCTCTCTTTAGTAAGAGACATATATGTTTTGTTTTTCTTCCCTGTCTCAGTTGTAAAATATTCTCGTATAGTTTATCTGTATAACTTCTATGCCCCATGTTGGGCCGTTTACGAGATAAAATAAACCTTTAAACTTTGT